TTTAGAAATGACAAAATAAAAGTAAACTTCTATTTGCAGATACTACAATTATATATAAAATATTTTAAAATAATTTACATTTAAATCATGAGACTTAAAGAATGTTTTGCAAGACTGCTGTACATGAAATCAATATTTAAAAATCCGTTCATTTCTATATATTAAAAAGTGTTAGGAAATGAAATTTAGTGTACGCTCTTATAATAGCATCATAGTGTTATACACCTAGGAATAAATCTAAATAAACTTCTGCTAGACTTCTACACAAAAAACTGCAAACACGAAGAGAAATTAAAGAAAATCTAAATCGTGTTATATAATATGAATGGATTGGAAAACTCAGTCTTATACCAATTGTCAATGAAACCCTGCACTCTAAACTCTTATGGATTTTTAAAAATTTAACAAGCTGAGTATAAAGTTTATAAAGAAACACAAAGGACTTAAGGTAGCCAAGACTTTCTTAAAGAAGAAATATGAGCTGAGAAGACTTATTCTCAGATGCCAATTCTTATTATAAAGCCACAGTAATTACGACAGTGTAGTGCTGGGCATGAATAGGCAAATAGATCAATGTAAATCTGAAATAGACCAAAAAAATCAGAAATCATCTGCTCCATATGGGAACAGTTGCCACTGCAAAATACAGCTCTCAGATCTGGCTGGACTCCACACTGCATGGGCAGATTCTTGATTAGAGGGTCTGGGGGCCAGGGGAAGATGTGTTGTGATATGCCACACTTACTTCTGTGTGGTGTGGCCACCCTGCTTCCATTAAATTTTAGTGCCTTTGTCTAGAAACTTAATTCTGTAGCTCATCTGACACTTGTTTCACATGTTTTTGGTATGAAGACCAGTCTGACTAGAATTGGGGACAAATGCCAATATTCTCAAGCAGAGAGGGGTACCACAGTACACCATGTTTAGACACAACAGCCCAATGACAAACTGCTATTGGGTCTTTGGAGAAAATTTTTATGGGCAAGTCGTATCAGTTGAATTTGTCTACTAAACCCCTAATTTCAAATGGTAGGGCTTTGGGGATAAAGAGAGATAATGTGATACGAGCAGTAGATAGATTCCCAGTAGCTCCCAATCCCGGTAGCCAAGTGCTGGTAGTATAAACCAGCCAAGTTACAAGATGATTAAAGTCTTAAAAGGAAGTTGAAATAGCAAAGGGAGGACAGGCTGTGGTCCAAGTGTCACAAGTGGAAGTCCCACCTCTGGGAACCTGGCATGGTAACATTGGAAGAAGGAAAGTCTGAACATCTCCCAAGTGCCTGCCAGACTGGCAGTGGTGACTTTTCAATTAGAAATTAAATAAATGCCAGAAGTGTAGATGTAGGAATATGAGAGAATGGAGTTTCCCTGACCCAACTGTCTGTGTGGGAGGGGATAAAATACAAAGGCTGATTACAAGTCAAGCAAGGTTTTTAGTGCCTGTGTTACTGCTTTTGATTCAGAAAAACTCTGCTTTTACAGGCTGGTTAATCTTTTTTATTCTTACAGATTGCTCTTCTGCCTTCTGAAAAGAGCTAGACCAGACTCTCAATGAACTACTGTATACAATATTCTGAGCTCTCAGAGATTTTTCTTAAAAATTATGTTGAAATGATAATGTCTCAAATAGTTTTATACTTGGAAAGATACTTTTAAAGTAGAGCATTAAGGATACCTAATAGAGACATAGATCATTTATTAGTAAATTATAAAAAATTATTTTGGATATGAATTTTTTAGGGAAAATATTACCTTGTTGGATGAGGACTGAGGAAAAGCAATGGAGAGAAATATGCTGGGGAAAAAATGGACTTAAAAAAGTTTTCCACTAAACAGAAAGTACAGATATCAGCTTCAGGTATAGCTGGATCCAGATGCTCTCACAATATGACCAGAAAACTCTCTGTATTCATCTCTCATCTGTAAGTTTCTTTGCATAATGTTCATTCTCTGAAAGACTCTTCCCACTTAGTGGTAAAGATGGACAGAAATAACTCAATTCCTCATTCTTATCACCTTCACAACTTCACCAAAACAAATGCATCCCTTTTCTGATGGCATTATTAAAAGTCTTTAGATTGTCTCTAGTCCAGACCTGTATGATTGGGGTTGGAGCCAGTCCAACCTAGATCATATACATAAAAATGTGGAAGGGAGTTTCCCCGAAGTGGTGCTGTGCTAATGAACATTTTTTCCACTGCAAAATAATTATTCACTAAATGGAGCTTTGATAAGCATCTATTGCTTAGAAAGTATTTGCCATGCCTCTAACATCACTGGTCTTGCCAACACGCCTGCCTGGCTCTTAGAAGACAGTCGGGTTGTCTTCACTAGTGAAGTCTGCCTCCTTTTTAGGTGTTTACACTTCCAGATGGGCAGAGACCACTGGAACCTGTGGTATACCATGTTTTTTTCCCATGGAAATTTTAGTGATTGAAAACCAATGGTCCATGGCAACAAAAAGAATAAAATACCTAGGAATAAACTTACCTAAGGAGACAAAAGGCCTGTATGCAGAAAACTATAAGACACTGATGAAAGAAATTAAAGATGATACAAACAGATGGAGAGATATACCATGTTCTTGGATTGGAAGAATCAACATTGTGAAAATGACTATACTACCCAAAGCAATCTACAGATACAATGCAATCCCTATCAAACTACCAATGGCATTTTTCACAGAACTAGAACAAAAAATTTCACAATTTGTATGGAAACACAAAAGACCCCAAATAGCCAAAGCTATCTTGAGAAAGAAAAACAGAGCTGGAGGAATCAGGCTCCCTGACCTCAGACTATATTACAAAGCTACAGTAATCAAGACAGTATGGTACTGGCACAAAAACAGAAATATAGATCAATGGAACAGGATAGGAAGCCCAGAAATAAACCCACACACATATGGTCACCTTATCTTTGATAAAGGAGGCAAGAATATACAAAGGAGAAAAGACAGCCTCTTCAATAAGTGGTGCTGGGAAAACTGGACAGCTACATGTAAAGGAATGAAATTAGAACTCTCCCTAACACCATACACAAAAATAAACTCAAAATGGATTCGAGACCTAAATGTAAGGCCCAGACACTATAAAACTCTTAGAGGAAAACATAGGCAGAACACTCTATGACACAGAGCACAGCAAGATCCTTTTTGACCCACCTCCTAGAGAAATGGAAATAAAAACAAAAATAAACAAATGGGACCTAATAAATCTTAAAAGCTTTTGCACAGCAGAGGAAACCATAAACCTTTCTCCCTCAGAATGGGAGAAACTATTTGCAAATGAAGCAACTGACAAAGGATTAATCTCCAAAATTTACAAGCAGCTCAATATCAAGAAAACAAACAACCTAATCCAAAAATGAGCAGAAGACCTAAACAGACATTTCTCCAAAGAAGATATACAGATTGCCAACAAATGAAAGGATGCTCAACATCACTAATCATCTGAGAAATGCAAATCAAATCTACAATGAGGTATCACCTCACACCAGTCAGAATGGCCATCATAAAAAAATCTACAAACAATAAATGCTGGAGAGGGTGTGGAGAAAAGGGAACCCTCCTGCACTGTTGGTGGGAATGTAAGTTGGTACAGCCACTATGGAGAACAGTATGGAGGTTCCTGAAAAAACTAAAAATAGAACTACCATATGACCCAGCAATCCCACTACTGAACATATACCCTGAGAAAACCATAATTCAAAAAGAGTCATGTACCACAATGTTCGTTGCAGCTCTATTTACAACAGCCAGGGCATGGAAGCAACCTAAATGTCCATGACAGATGAATGGATAAAGAAGATGTGGTACATATATGCAAATATTACTCAGCCATAAAAAGAAATGAAATTGTGTTATTTGTAGTGAGGTGGATGGGCCTAGAGTCTGTCATACAGAGTGAAGTAAGTCAGAAAAAGAAAAACAAATACCGTATGCTAACACACATATATGGAATTAAAAAAAAAAAAAGGTTCTGAAGAACCTAGGGGCAGGACAGGAATAAAGACGCAGACGTAGACAATGGACTTGAGGACATGGGGAGGGGGAAGGGTAAGCTGGGACGAAGTGAAAGAGTGGCATGGACATATAGACACTACCAAGTGTAAAATAGATAGCTAGTGGGAAGCAGCCGCATAGCACAGGGAGATCAGCTCGGTGCTTTGTGTCCACCTAGAGGGGTGGGATAGGGAGGGGATATGGGGATATATGTATATGTATAACTGATTCACTTTGTTATAAAGCAGCAACTAACACAACATTTAAAGCAATTATACTCCAATAAAGATGTTAAAAAGAATAACCAGTGGTATTTTTCAAGTCGTCGTTTTTCCTTTTAATAAAGTATTTAATATATGTGTATTTTAAAGATGTGGTTTATAGTTTTTTGGCTCACAGTTTGAGCCACTTCTATCCTCCAAAGTATTCTTAATGAGATATCTTAATTCCCAAAATAAACTTCCTACAACTAAGTCATTCAGCAGCCATGTATTATGTGCCTGCCAGTTGCGCTCTATTTAGGCACAGGTATATTAATTAACAAGTAAATTAGGGTCTCTGTCCACAAGATTCGTCATAATGAATCTAATTTACCCAGATTCAGAGCTATATTTTCTGTCTCTAATCTGAGATTTGGCCCCATGTAAGAAATTAAATTTTTTTCAACAAAAGTTCAGTATTTCATTTTAACCAAAGCTGTATTTGAAGACAGATTCCAATAAGTGTGGTCTGATACAAATGACACTATTCATAGCAAACAGCAACAGGCCAGCTGCAGTTTGAGTCATGTTTCCGTAAACGGAGCATGTGTATGAACTCTGACCCCCAGTTAAGGTTTCTACAACTTAACAAATAAAGTAGTGAGTGTGATAAACTCCTGAAAACTAGCTTATGTGTCAGAAACTCTAACCAAAGTGGTGCTGCCAGGCACTGTTCTTAGAACAACTTATAATAAAAGAAAAACATTTTTTTTTCTTCTGTTATCCCTCTTGTTCAGGAAGAAGCAAAAGGCAGCTTAGTGAATTGGAGACAACTGGAGGTGGTTTATAAGGATGGAGTGCAAAGGTAAGTTGGAGTTTGTAGGAAACAGCTTTTAATTGGAGAATTGTCCAATTGTCCCAAGTGTCACCTGCTTAGGCTCTTGGTGGCTGCCAGTGTAGCTAGTTATCTGAAGGGCAAGAAAGCCTGAAAATAACTGGAAGAATCCAAGTCACATCATCTTAAACATAGAGTTGTGATCATAAATACAAACACAGTCAAGAACTCCTCCAAATGCTGGCATTTCTGAACACAGTTACCTCCATGCACCAGACCTGGCAGTGGGCATGTGGGTGACAGCCCAGACTGACCTCTGGGCAGGTGGTCGGTTCTGTCAGGCTGCACTGATGTACATCTTGCTTCAAGGACGAGATTTCCTTTGAGGACTCTGGGTGATCTCTTGGAGCCGCCTAACTGGCTGACCTGGGAAACCCACACCAAGTGCCAAAGGCACCAGAGGGGATCGGGTTTAGGCTTCTGGCCAACTGCATGCAATCTCCACCTCATTCTGGGAAGCAGGCAAAAAGCTCATCCCCTTGCAAAGCGGAGGGAAGGTTTTCCAAGGAAACACAAAAACCAAGTTCAGTTTAGATTCAGAAAGTCACTGCACCAAAGATTCCATGAACTTCTCCCTGAAGAAATGAGAGAAGTGGTTCTGAGTCAAGCTGGTTCTTAATACATGTGCAAAAGGGACCACCCAAGAGGTGGCTCTTCCCGAGCAAAATGGCCTTCCTTCCTTCTGCCTTCCTGTGTTTGCAACTACGAGCCCAGGAGCAAGCTGATGACACCAGTCTAGGGCCATAGAGGACCATTCCTAGTCACTGTAGGCATAAAAAACATCAGAAGAGAAAACTATTAAATTCAAAGACTTCACCAGTACGTATTACATGCAAAGCACTTCCAGTGGTGAAGTGTAGGAAAGAGTTTAACAAACAAAAACAGCCAACTCAAAACTGCAATTTTTGTCCATCTTCCTTTCACACTTGTACAATATGACAAATTCAGGCAGAGGTGCCCTGGGGATGTCTTAGAATAATTCATAACCAAGTGGTTTTGCTGTTATTTCACTACTCCTGATGGCCCACAGTCTAAGCCTCCCTTTTCATATTATATCTTTAGTATTGTTTATTCTTTTTATTAGGTGACTTGCCTTTTCAGCTCTCTTTTCCAAATAACACAGTTTAGCTTAGGCTTTGACATCTATTAAAACACAAGGTCTCCTTCAGGTCGTAATAGACTTGATTACTGTTTTCACTTAGGATGTGAAGTTTAGTATCCTATCATATCAGCTGGTTATATGAAAGAATCTTTAAAGGCTGGGCCTAAAATAACCCCAACCAAGTTCACCAATTTGCAGACTGCAGGCTAAATCTGGCCTGCAGATATTTTGTTTGGCTGGGCCAGTGATTTTTGTTTTGTTTAGTCTTGGTTTTGTTGGTCCTGTTTTGTAGTTGAATTTGAATGACTTTTGGCAGCATATTCTTTTTAAATTCCATAGAGCCCACCTCTCTCTATTGCTATGACCCTTGTAGGTATTTGGGTTTGTGATGCCTGCCCTACATGGTAAGTGGTGATAGCAAGCATCCATGTCTCATTCCCAATCCTATGATAAAAACTTTGGAAGTTTTACCTTTAAATTTGAAATGATTCTATTGTTTGTATTTGTACTATTTGTATTCTTTTGAGATGCTTATTATCAGATAAAGAAGACCTTTCTATTTCTCGTGTATTATGAGACATTATTATGAATGAGTGTTGAATTTTACCAAATGCTTTTCCTGCCTCTATTGAGATAGCCATATTTCTTTCCTTATTTTCTATTAATTACTAAATTACATTGTTCGATTACCAAATGTTAACCCAACATCATATTCTCAGAATAAGTCCTTCTTGGTTGTAATATATGATCCTTTTTATATAGAGCTTGGAAGTATTTGCAGTTATTGTGTTTAGAATTTTTACCTAGTCTGAAGAGAAGGCTTACTTTTTAATTTTCCTTTGTGGAAAAAGAAATGCCCTTGCTGGGTTGTGGAGGTCAAGGAAATGCTTGGCTCGTTACAGAAGTCAGCAGGGGTTTCCTCTTCTCTAATCTTTGGAAGACCTTGAGAAAAATGAAAGTTATTTAATATTGTGGGAAGAGTTTGAATTTCAAATTCAATTTCTTTAATAGATGTAGAACTATTCATAACTTCTTTTCCTTCATGTGGCTCTTTGGTAATTTGAGATTTTCTAGAAATCTGACCGTTTTACAAATAAGTTTTCAAGGTAATTGATGTCGTGTTCGAAATAGTATCTTATTACCTTCTTAATGCCTGCATGATTTCTAGCGATGTCTCCTTTTTCATTTCTGATATTGGTAATTTGAGCCTTTTCTCTTTATTTTTCATTAGTCTTGCTAAGAGTTTATCAATTTTATTCATCTTTTCTCACAACTAACTTTTGGCTTTATTTTCTCTACTATATGTTTTAATTTAATTAATTTTAATTCTGAATAACTCAGATATGACTGTACAATTAGACATAATCAAGCATCCAAATGTTGGCAACTAGGTATAGAATCTACATGAATGTGATAGTAGACTCTAATAATGCAGGTGTGTTGTGTAGGTGGTCCAGATATCATGAGCAGCATTACTGTCAGGGGCATGGTTTTCTGAGATGGTGAACAGCTCATGGAATCATTCCAATCAAGTCAAATAGGACCTTCTCTCAACTTACAGTTATTACTATAAGATTCAGTGTATATTAAAACTGTACAGAAATATTTTGTGTTATATATAAAAGAAGTTAGACTCTAGGTAGATTTTTTCCTCTATGTAAATATCCAGTGAGACAGTTTGGAAGCTGTGCAGATGTAGGACAAGTATTCTATTGCAGGACACCATGTATCCCTGAACCCTCTTACTGAATGTCTGTAGGGTTTCCCAATTACTGTGACAAAAGGGGAAAAAAGCCTCCTAAAATTTCCAAAATGCCTGGCTAGGTGGCTCTACCATTCCCTTTGAGATATGACCACTGAAATAGGGAAGAAGTCATACAACAGATGACCCTCACTTGTCAAAAGTGGTTCTTTCTTTAACTCCTCCATCTCCATCATCATTCAGGATTGATTACCAGACTCCACTTTGCTTCTCCTGCTCAGAGATATTGTGGCTCCCTGGGGCTTGTCCTAACAGAGGCTTCCTCCAGGCTGTATTGAGTCTATTCCTACTGTGTAGTAGTGTTCACTCACCACCGCTACACTGATGCTAGAGTAAGATCTGTTCCCAACCTGTGTGTCAGCCTTGGTTTGGGTCTTTCTAAAGTCCTTTGGGTATACTTCCACCCCATCTCTTCATTTGGGCTGTCCTGGACTGACTTCCAGTATAGTCGAGCCCGCAATTCCAGCAGATCAGGCTCCCTCCCTAGAGGTCCCAGGGGATTTTCCAGATCCAAAATTGGCACCAGGGCTGATTGAAGACACAGTAGGTCCTGATTGGGTTTGGTACTCCAGTTCACTACATATTTTAGAGCATTGCCTGGATTACTTGTCAATTTCAAATTCTCTCACCCATGCTTTAACCTAGTTGCCACTTCTGCCGCTGTCAGCCCTTAACTACCTCTTTTCTTGGGCCAGCATGGTGTTGTGTACCAGTTGCAAAACTGGCATTCTCTAGGTTAGTAGCAAGTTCTATGATGATGTTAACCCAACAAATTACAGGGTCTGCAGGTTCCAGTCCCATGGCTAGCTGGGATTTCCCTCACTTATGGATTCAATGTGTGCTTGTTACTGGGGCCCTCAGCTCAGGGACCTGTGACAATGTCTGCATTGAGATGGCTTCCCCCCCTCCAAGTACTACACCTACCCACATTATACACCAAATCTCTTCCTACCTTTTCTTTGACATGAGTTGCTGCTTACCTATTAAGTTAGAGGTGAGGCTGTGGTCATCAGCAATGTGAGCAGTGGCTTTCTGTTGCAACGGCTGCCCAGGTAAGTGACATGACCTGATGAAAGTCCTCATTGTGTTGAAACTCCTTCTCCTGGCGAAACTCCTACTAGCTGTACCCCTGTAGACCCAGAGGCTCCCATAGCCAGACAGACCATGTTCCCAGCTGCTCACCAGTGCACTGCCAAATCAGGGTGGAAAAGGAGCCTAATTTTTCTTTAGTGTTTTGTTTTAGTTATGCTTTCCTCTTTCCTGCTATGACCCAGCATTGATTTTCAGAGGGAGATATGCAACTAATTTTAGCATAACTAACAAATGGGACATTCTTAAACCAATTTGAACATAATTTGCAAATGGTCAACAAGTGGTTGGTCAAACTTTCCCCGAGCATAGGTATGGTATAACAAGACAGGGCAGACCTGGGGAGAGCATTTTTTCTATAAAGAACACTATTTATCTATGCAGATGTTCTGTTACCAGGTCCTGATTGCACATCCATGGACATCAACCTTGTTCGTGTGTGTTTCTTCACTTCTGGTTTTGTCCTTATGTTCTTGTATCCTAATATGTTTCTATTCTCTGGATTCAAATCTTAAGCGACCTCCTCACTTGCCAGGGTTGGCACTATTCATCTTCTATCAAATGCAGACAAATTCAAGCCATGTGCAGAGATGCACAGATGAGTGGTCTGTTGGGAAGGTTGGCTTCATTCTAATTTTGGCCACAAGCTGACTCCTCTTGTGTGCAGAATACTCCTAAATTAGGTGCTTGAGGTAGGTAGTGCTAACAGTGTATTATACAATGAGAATGTGCACAGAATGGACCCGGGGGGATACCAGTGTGTGTAAGCTACATAGACACTGACTAAAACTTTTCTTTGTAAACATTTTCTTTACAGTTAGTCACTAAAAATTACAGAGCTTCAGTCACCAAAAATGTATTTCTTATGCATAATCATTGAAACCAGAAATGTAACCTGATTCTGCATTCGAAACAGGACATTTTATTCTGGTTTTGTTCATGGGAAATGGCTGACTTTGACAGAGTAGAAATTGAAAGTTAGAAGCTTATGGAGAAGAACCATAATGCACAAAGCAC